CGCAACACTTTGTAAAGCCTCCGAAACAGTGGTGCACAGTGGCAGGTCTCTAACAACTCTCGACTGACGCGCCCTTATGGGTCGCAGATGAAAAACACCTAGCTTGTACCGCCCGTCGCCGTGATGATAGTGTCGGTCGCAAGCGCCACTGTGCGGATCTTGTTTAAAACTAAAGGCAGGCCAACTCCGCGGGGAGCGCGAGCCATTCCTCAGGCATCTTTCTAGAGGAGGCGTTGGTTCACCGCACCGACGGACCCAGCACGGCTTGCAGAATGGGAAAGCAGGATGATGTGGGCAGATAGAAGGCTGACGCCGAAGGCTGTCGTTTGCGAACGGCATTTTGAGAGTGACTGCATCGAACCATCTTTTCATATTACGGTGAACGGTGTCGTGAATGAAACCGCCCGAGAGTAGCCGCGCCTGAAGCCCGATGCTGTCAATGTGTGCGTATGTGTGTGTGTGTCTGTGTGTACGTATGTGTGTGTGTGTGTCTGTGTGTGTGTACGTGTTTGCGCGTATGTGTGTGTGCGTGCGTGCCTGTTTGTGTGTATGTGCGTGTGTGTGTGCGTGCGTGCGTGTGTTTTGTGGGCGGCAGCCAACAGTGAGGTTATATTACGACATTATCTTCATTTGATATTGATAAATACGAGTACTGTGAAAGCAGTCGCGTAGGTATTATACAATAAAGCGTTTTGAAAAGAACTCTCCGAAAATACGGAAAAATTGAAAGTTGGCCTCGCGCGGCTAGGCCTACTGAAAGCTTCACAGCGCTTGCGGAGAACGCGGATTGAACGCAGATGGATGGATGGATGGATGTGGGTGTACCCTTTAGATCTGGCGGCGGCTAATGCCACCTAGCCGTAATACTTCGTGAACTAACCATTAGATTTATCTTTTTTTTTCCTTTAAATAGTGAGGTTGAGGATTCGTACTTTGCAGTGAAGGGTTTCATTTTCACTCGTGCCTTGACTTTAGCCACCAATCAGATAACCCCCTTCTAGTTAATTCTACCCTCTTAAAGTCTATTTTGCCCTCCCTGTCCCTAAACCCCAGTGTTTTGAAAAACTCTGCGCCATCATCCTGAACTATAGGGTGAAGCCCTTTACAGGACATTATCAAGTGTTCGGCAGTTTCTTCTTCTCCACACGCACTGCATACTGTGTCTATCCCTTCGTATTTGGCCTGATATGTCTTGGCTCGCAGTACTCCCGTCCTGGCCTCAAACAGTAGAGAACTACCCCGAGTATTATCATAGATCCTTTCCTTGGCGATTTCCTGCTTAAAAGTTCGATAGATCTCTAGTGCGGACTTCTTAATCATGCCAATTCTCCACATGTCAGTCTCCGTTTTCTTCACTTTCTTCTTAACCGATAGTTCTTTTTGGTTTGGCCACCTGCTGTTTTCTAAGTATTTACCAGTCGATTTTTCTGGTTCGCTTCCTCCATTTTGTATGGACAGTCTTCATGTAAAGGTGCTGAAAACATTCCTAGCCCAACGCTCCTTCCTCACTTCTCTCAATCGCTTCTCAAATTTTATCTTGCTGCTAGCTACCCTGCCCTCAAACGATGTTCATCTCATACCACCTTCTACTCCCTGATTTGGTGTATTCCCGTGAGCTCCTAAAGCGATCCTACATATTCCACGTTGCTTAATTTCTAATCTTGCTTGAACTTCTGATCTCATGCACAAGACCGCATTGCCGAACGTCAGACCAGGAACCATGACCCCTTTCCATATTCCTCTCACAACATCATACCTATTGTAACTCCACAGTGCCCTGCTTTTAATTACCACTGCATTCCTGTTTCCTTTAGTCGACACGTATATTTCGTGTTGCCTTAGGTACTCGGCCTCATTGCTTATCCATACGCCCAGATATTTGTATTTATCTGTTATATCTAGCGTGACCTCCTGTATTCTAAGCTCGCTATCTTCGTTATCATTAAAAATCATGACTGCTGATTGTTCCTTACTGAATCTAAAATCCAACCTATCTCCCTCATAACCGCAGATGTCCATCAATCTCTGCAAATCTTCCTTATTGTCGGCCATTAACACTATATCATCTGCGTACATTAATGCTCGTAGTGCCTGATCAATGAGTTTTCCTTGTTTGACTAAAGAGAGGTTGAATCCAAGTCCACTTCCCTCTGATTTGGCCTCTACTCCTTGTAGGTACATCATGAATAACAAGGGTGACAGTGGACACCCTTGCCTAAGTCCCCGTTTCACCTCTGTGGGCTTGGATACCTGTTTTTACCACTTTATAACTACCTTGTAACTTTTATAGATTTCCTTTAAAAGATTAGTGACTCCATCTTCCACACCCAGTGTGTCTCATATTCCACACAAGTCATTTTGAACCACGCTATCGTACACTCCCTTGATATCCAAAAATGCTAGCCACAGGGGCCTGGGTTCCTTTCTGCTATTTCGATGCACTGCGTCAGTGAAAACAGATTGTCTTCCAACCTCCTGTGTTTCCGAAACCCATTCTGCAGTTCCCCCAGCACCCCTCATCCTCTATCCATGCCTGTAGTCTTTCCTTTATAATCTGCCTCGCCAGCATGTAGACCACTGATGTCACTGTTATAGAACGGTAGTTGTTTATGTCATCTTTGTCCCCCTTTCCTTTATAGATCATGCTCATCCTGCTAAGTTTCCATACATCAGGGACTTCACCATCGATTATTGTTCTGCTCACTGCCTCTCTCAAAGTCTGTTTAGACTTCGAACCCAATGTCCTTATCAGCATAATTGGAATGCCATCTGGGCCTGTTGGTTTACTACTTGGAACCTTCTTCTCAGCCCTTTCCCACTCTCGTTGTGAAAATGGAGCCATTGTGCCACTTGATTCATCTCTGTATATTGTGGTGCACAAGGCACTTCTTTGTTGAATTTTTTCTGCCACCCTTGTTCTTATATATTGAATAGCTTCGTCCCCTTCTAGCCTAGCACCTTTGGCTGTATTTAAAAACCTCTGCTATAGGATTGTTTCATTTCTTAGGGAGTTTAGATGGTTCCGAGATTTCGCAGCTGCCTTTCTCTCTTTTTTATGTACTTCTGCCAGCCACGGAGCATCCTTTCTTCTAATCTTTCCATTGATCAGGAGGGATGCTCAGTGGCGTAACTAGATAGGACGGCGCCCAGGCAAATATATTTCCGCGCCCCTCATTATGCCCGTGATAATGTTTGTTATTATTATTATTATTATTATTATTATTATTATTATATAATAATAATAATAATAATATTAATTATAATAATAATAATAATATTAATAATATTAATAATAATAATAATAATATTAAATAATATTATTATTATTATTATATATTATTATTATTAGCGCTAATGTAGGCTTCCGCGATTGCCTACTGGCGCGCGGCGGGCCATTTCGGAGGCCAAGGGCCACCAGTTCTGATTTCGATGAGCTACGCCCGCGTTTTTGTATAGGTATTTTTCTTTTTTATTCAAACTTCCGGAAGTCCCTTACCCGTCATTGTTCTCTTCCAGTCCACACTGCAAAAATCTTGACGGCACGGGCGCTTCCCAGGCCCAAGTTTCTCGTACCTAAGCTTTCGCGCTATTTGTGCATCCCAAGGAATGCAGGGTGAGTACAAAACAAAGCAACCAGCTAGACACCGCGCCCTCGGGTCTGGTATGGGGGTTAAACTGGTCGGAGTGTTCTGCCGTTTCGCTCCGTTCGCTGTTCCATTGATGGAGGTCATCCTTGTGCGGCCGCATTCTTTCAGGGAAGTTCTTGGTTTCTCCAACGTACGAAGCGGGGCAGTCGGCACATGCTGTCGGGTACACTACGCTCTGCGCTTTTTCGCAGGTGCGTGTTCTTTGGGCCAAAGGATGAACCTGCCCATGGCGGTGGATGGCATGTGGGAAACGTTGACCCCCGCCCTTCTATTGCTTTGCTGGCGCCCGCGATGCAGGGAATCAACAAACGTCGCCGTCGTGTCACGCTTTCTCCGTCTTTCCTCCAGAGAACTCTGCGAATAAACGCCTTTGTTTAGCCTTTGGTGCCGAGGTCACGGATTATATTCGCCCTTCCTTCCGCCGCTGCGTGGACGATTAGTCGTTGGACGATCGGCTATTTCGTTGGAGTTTTCTGTTCTTACTCAAAAAAGGTGCATTCGAACTTTTTATTTTATTTTGTTTACGTACGTGGTTGGTTTCAGGGAAGCTTTCAGTAAGTGGTTTGGGAGGCTGGTGGGGTTCGCTGAAACTCATCTAACCCAGTGCTGCGGAGCACAAAACAAAGCTTAGCCGAGGGTCATGGGAAGGCACGGAGGTAGCGCAGCAAAATGAAAATAGAGGATCCTTTTCCCGATGCAAAAGCCATTGCGGCAACCCTTTCCTTCACCACCATCCCCACTTCCAGTCGTACATTACAACCTCGCCCCTCCCCCCTTCCAGGCGGTTTTACGGAAAAAAACATTGACAACCTTTCCAGGGGGCGCCAACCCGAGGACTCGGCTTGGCGCCCCCTCCCTAGTGGCGCCCGGGGCACTTGTACCCCCTTGCCCCCCCCTAGTTACGCCACTGGGGATGCTTCCCTTCTAGAGCTTAGAAAGATTTCCCATTTTATTTCAACATCATCTGTCAGTTACCCCGTTGCTTAGCATGTCTGTGTTCCCTAGAGGCTTCCCGACGTTTTGCTATGGCTCTCTTAACTTCCTTATTCCACCAACTTTTGGGTTGTGTCTTCTTTTCCGGGGTGACTTCTCATGTGCCTTAGCAAGCTCTAGCCCAAACAGTCTAATTAGATTTGTGTACGTCCACACAGTTTTATTATCTTCAGTGATTACTTTCTCAATTTGTTTAGTAGTAATTTCTATTTGCCTTTCAGAATGAAATTTTTTCTGTAGTTGCTCATCTTGTCTCCTTCCCACTTTCGCTGCTCTTCCGTGTTGGTCGCAAGCGCCACCGCGCGGGCTTGTTGAAAACTGAAGGCAGGCCAACTCCGTTGGGAGCGCGAGCCATTCCTCAGGCATCTTTCTAGAGGAGGCGTTGGTCGGAGCATTGCTATAGCATTGCTCTGAGGAACAGCAACAAGACATATTTCTACGGTGGTTTCACGATTTCACATATTTGCGCCAATGCAAGCGCCGGATGATAAAGTTGTGACAGCAAGGCGGTAATTCACTACGGTGCTCCAGGGGATATTGTGCGTGCTTTCGTATTCAGTGGCCGATGTATGTGTTCATATTGACAAACAAGTAACGGTAAGAGATTTATACTGCTCCGTGTAGAGTTTCATGTGCTCTGTAATGTACTACGTGTATGTGTATAATGCGAAATGTTTTGCTGCGCAGGTTCACGATTAGTTCATTTCATTAGTTTTTCGTTGTCGATTATCTTCGACTTTTTGTGCTTTCATAGAACTTTCTGACGCAGGTAGAAAGTTGTCCGTGTGTATTATGTGACAATTTTTATGTTCCTGAATGTTATCTGGTTTAGAATGCGACTTGTCGGCAGCTTCGAACCATCTCCTAGCGCTGATAGCGCGAGCCTCCGCCTTCGAGTCAGAGCAACCAATATGCTCACTGGCTGACTCTCCCAAACGCGCTAAATCCTCCAATGCTAAATGTTTATATCCCGTCAGCCTAGTTTATGCGCCCGGAAACCGGTGCAGGGTTTTCCATCGAAGGGGGGCACCAAAACTGCTGCCCCAGCATAATTTCCTACTACGTAAAGGCTCTACCGACTGTTCACCGGCTGTTTGTAGTACCATACCGGGGTGAAGCATGCACTCTCGTCGCAATCGCCGCCGTAAAGATAGGCTGGCTGGATGTTTTGACATGGTAGTATTGAAGCAAGCACTCGTAAACAACCTGCTTGTGCCAGAACTAAAAAGAAAGCGCCGCTGTTTTTACGTATTGATTTCAATAAAAACTCGCTTAAATCGGGCTTAATGCCATGTTGTAAGCTTCGTTTTTTCGGGTTTATAGAAACGTTGGACCCTGTGGATACCTGCCGAAGAACGGAAATTTATTTAGATGGGGAACTTGTAAAGTTTGTTTTTGTCACATCAGCTTTTAACTGTATCGTGTGTATTAAGATACCACATATACCTTCGGTCCAAGTGACCCAGACTGTATTGCAATATTGGGCTGTTCAAATTTTATCTAGGGCATCGCAGATTCACGCTTTTTTTTTTTCAAATAAGAAATTACGAAACATGGAGGCAGATACTGTGAGTAATGATAAACAGCATAATTAAATTTTCACTGAGGTGTCTCAGTGATAAAAAAAAGCCCAAATACATTTTCTATAAGCGGAATTGGCAACTCTGATGGAATGACAAAATTAAGAAGTATGCAGGCCTAAAATGGAATCGAATCGCACAAGCCAGGGTGGATTTGAGGTTTTGAGAGGCTTTGTTCAGCAGTAGACAAGCAGTAGACCAGCTGATGATAATCTCTGCTAGATTGTGGCTGCAACATAAGGCTGTGTGGGCACTGTGTTGGTTTAGCAGTTAGGGTGCTCGGCTGCTCACCCAAAGGCTGCAGGTTCGATTCTGGTCATGGCAGTCGCATTTCGATGCAGGTGAAATAGTACAGGCCCGTGTACTGTGCGATGTCAGTGCATGGTAAAGAACACGAGATGGTCCGAATTGCCAGAGTCCTACACTACGGCATCTCTCATAATCATATCGTGGTTTTGGTATGTAAAACCCAAAATATTGTTACACAAGGCGAGGTAAATTAATGTTACACAAGGCGAGGTAAATTAATGGGGGTTTTTAATGGGCCCTGAGTCCGCGATCACCGACTAATGATGATGATCACCGCCATGGCTCGTACCCACTCAGGGAGATCGCAGTGGAGGCAACGTCGTCTTCCTTCTCTGCCCACGCTTCCCTTGTTTTTCCTGGTAGTGATACTTTGTATCAATATTATTATTGCTATTATCATCCAACATAATACTGAATTTTTGCAAGATTACACACAAAGCAAGGCTCATTTCACGGTCCTTTTTTTTTTCTGTGCAACAGAATGGAAAATAAACTTTGATTTGATTTGATGTCCCTCCTTTTTTCGTTTAACCTGCTTACCGGGACACTTGGAGCCTGCCCATACAGACAAACACATGCGCACTCCCTCTCTACAAGGTGTTTCTTTCACTCTAAGCCTCAGGATGTTTAAAAAGAGGAAGGGTGTTCTGCAAAGCAGACTTAGTACATGTTGTTCTCAGCAGACTGAATTAGTTGCTAGTATGTTTGGGAGATTTATTTAGTTTATTATAACAACTCGTAATTTTGAGAAGTGCTAACCTACATTTAGGTAGATTAGTGAGCCAATGTGAGCATGCTTAAATGACATCTAACTGCAATGTTTTTAACAGTGTACTAATTCAGTGTCATTTTTTTTTTCAGCTGGGAAAGAAAGCTTGCAAAGTATGAAATACCACATGACTACGCTGCCACCTGCATAAAAAAACCACTTATCCTATTGGAAGCAACCGTTCCACCTCTTGTCTCCTGACTGGGACCGTGTTCCTTATTTCGACAATGGTAAGGTGCGAGCACCAAGAACTTGTTGCAATTTTACAGAAAATTCCTGTACTGAACTATAGGGAGACCATTATTATCCTCATCTCTAAGCTAATGGCTAACATGCTGTTTTCACTGTAGCCTGATTTTGTAATTAGATTTTTTAGTGTTAGGTGTTGTGGGATAACTATACCCTAAAAAAATCATAATTAGGGAGTATTTGTGCCTAATATTAATCATTGTCATCTGGCTTGCTTGCATTTCTTTCCTTTAAAACAGATGCTGTAAGATCGATTGCTACATCATGCTTGTACAGTAAAACCTCATTAATTCGAACTATATTTTGAAGTCCTGCTTAATTCGAAGGATTTCCGGGGTCCTGTATATTGCAATGTAAGTTTGAGTGGATAATTTCAAGTGGTGGCCTGCCCCAGTTCGGTTAATTCGAAAACTTTGGGTGCCAGTTCCAGATCCTGATTTCGCCGTGAATCGGCGGAAACAACGGCCCTTAATAGACACAAGGCAGTTCAACGTAGCGATGCAAATGAGTGGCAGTTGAAGCACTCCAGCCTGTCTACTTCCAGCGCACACACAGACACAAAACGGTTTCGTGGTCAATCAAAACGTACGCCTGTAGAAAACGAAACATGCTTCACTGCAACTCAGTGGTAGTGCGCGGGCAGCATATTGCATGTTTCTCACAACGTCAGCAAGTAACGGCTTATCCATTCTTTCTGGGAGTGTAAAGAAATTAATAAAAGACAGTTTTGGCAAAATTCGCGATGTATGCCAACCTACGATTGCTGGTTGCTTCAGCAATTCACGTCTTTGCACTGCTAGCAGAATTCTTGCCAACTCCTACTTTGAAAACTAAGTTCAAAAGTTTCAAAGATATTTTTTGCAGCCAAAACACATCGGGAATTTCATTGTACTGGCCATTAATAAATTCCTAATGATACCAGAAAGAATGTGCGAAGGGTCAGATCATGATGTACGAACGCAGCGAGGGGCAGACGATATGTTGCCCGCGTGTCACTACTGAGTTGCAGTGAAGATGTCTTGTTTTTCGCAGGTGCACATTCCAGTCGATCACGACAACATTTTTTTTTTTTTTTCGGTGGCAGCAGCGGAGTTCATCATTCCTCTATGTTCCCGGCAAAATGAAGCCCAGGTATTGCTGGAAAACATAACCATTGACGCCGCAAGCTAGCCGACACAGCAAACGATGAGCACTGATTACTTTGAATAGTTCTGTTTCTTGCATCCAATTTTTTGTATGTTCTGTTCATTTGAAAACCCGCTTAATTCGAAGATTTCTCGCGGCCCAATTGACTTCGAATTAGTGAAGGTTTACTGTAGTTCGCAAGGCGTTTGTGGCTGAAACATCATGCCGGGACCACGGTGACAATGCAGAAGGAAGCAGACTAAAGCTATATTTGCATTCGCATGCACCCCAGATATCACGCAGCATGCTTTTAAAAAGAGAAGCAGTGTTATACGAAGCACACCTTATGCATATTGTTCCCACTATGCTGTAGCAGCAACTACAAAATTTTGTTAATGATGTTTAGTTTATTAGGCTTACATTTATAACTCGACAAATACTCACCTAATCATTAAAATCTCGCTGAGACAAATGCCGGCATCATCAAATCACATTTAACTACACTATTTTGGACAATGTACTAATTGTGTGTTAGCCTTTATTTTTTACCTAATTAAGGGAGCCCAAGAAATGTTGTGGGGTCTCGTTGTGGGGAGCACCATGCTCTTGTAGTGAACAGACACAGCAGACGCGGTCATACAAAACCAAAAAAAACACGTTTTAACTGCCTTTAGAACGACGATATCGTCAGCCAAATTATTATACATCATTTGTGCTCAAACATGCTAGAACAACCTTACACATAATGATACAACACTCAACAGTATAACAAACACAAGGCGGCAACGCCAACGCTTGACTCACGACTAGGGCCCCCGGCAGATGGCCCGCGGTGCTGTGCACCAGGGACCCACGCGAGAGACATCCGTTCGCGCTTACTGCCATGCGCCAAAGAAAGCAGCTTAGCTCTCTCGCGCTGCCACCAAGGCTTCCCACCAGGCGTCACCGCTGGCGCTACCGATCTAACCATGATGATGATGACAATGGTGGTGATAACAAAAGCTCGCGAGCAGAACGCCACCTACCACTGTGGCGACTCATAATACAGCTTATGTGCGAGACACGTGCAGCACGTGAGGCAAACGACTTTACAGGGGGTGTTAGCACCCCTACATCTTCCCAATTTTAATTCAAACCATATCCTGAAAAAACAGCAGCATTAAAGAAAACAGCTGCACAAACTCTTAACAAAAGATGACAACACATGTCCCTAAAGAATTTCTGTGCACCATGACACCGCTGCCGGTCGACACTGCTGCACTGTCTCTGCATTTCCGATGGAGGCGGAAATGTTGTAGGCCCGTGTGCTCAGATTTGGGTGCACGTTAAAGAACCCTAGGTGGTCGAAATTTCCGGAGCCCTCCACTACGGCGTCTCTCATAATCATATGGTGGTTTTGGGACGTCAAACCCCATATATCAATCAACCAATCAACTGCTGCACTGTCTGGCTCGACGACTTCACCTCAGTACCGATCCCACAAAGGCAATGTTTCCGTCAGCGCGAGGAACCATCACTCGCGCCAACACATCTTCTGGTTGCGACCAGCACTCACGAGGCCGCCGAAGTGCAGGCTGTTGCGCAGGTCCCAGGCATCCCCATCGCCTGATGTGTCAACCGCATTCCTGGCCAACGACCAAGACAAATGTGCAGAAGACAGCACGGGTTACCTCACTCCCTCTGCGTACACTCAACACACTCGAAAGAACAATGCAGTAGGGCACAGGGAAGGGAGCTTCAGGCTCCTCGCCCACGTGGTACGACGGTCGGTACTGCTAGCAAATACATCAGCAGCGGCCGAGACGCCCAGCTAAAATGAAAACAAAGGTCGTTTTTCCTAACCCGTGCGGATAAAAAAAAAAAAAAAGAGGGAAGCAAAGTGCAACGCCGCAAGCCACCAAGTTGTGCCACATGGGACAAGCAGCCGCGCAGCGCCTTAGGCCTAATGAGTCACTTGACAACAACCGGCATCCACCCAGCCTAGACGCAGAAGAGGCAGCCGCAAGAAGACATCCACTCTGTAAGGTGGCCCTACTCCGCTCGCCGCACACAGCAGCTTACCAAGGGATCGGCGTCCACCGTCCCGGACGGTGTCATGACGCCTCGGCGTCGAGCCGTAGACAACAGCAACGACGCCGGAGTCCCTGAGTCCAAGGAGATAGAAAAAGCTATTTACAGAAAAACGGACCACCGAGGCTTTCATACTCGCTTGCTTCGCGCCTTGCCTACAATCCACATGCTCTAAGCTTTGCTCACCCCAGGATGCAAACTGCATGGCTCTCGTCCGAACTCAACAGCGTTCTTGAAAAACCAACCAAAAAAAAAAAACACTTGCGAGCAGGAAAAAAAAAAAATAAACTCATTGTGCCAACAAGTTCAAACGCATCACAACAACTGACCTCCTTGCTCTCAACAAAGCACACCACTAATGCTAGCAATGGAAATCCCCCTCGACACCCCAGGCCTACTTTTCCCCGGCTCAAACAAAAGCTTGTACTGAACCGCAAAAACTGTCGTCCGATGCTCCAAAGGCTCCACGTTGGGCGCCAGTGGGGGGTCTCGTTGTGAGGAGCACCACGCTCTTTGAGCGAACGTACACAGCAGACGCGGTTGGACCAAACCAAACAACACACGTTTATTTCACTGCCTTTAGAACGATGATATCATCAGCCAAATTATTATACATCATTTGTGCTCAAACATGCTAAAACAACTTACAGATAATTATGCAATACTTAACAGCATAGTGAACACAAGGCAACAGTGCCAACGCTTGACTCACCACAAGGGCCCCCGGCAGATGGCCCGTGGTGCTGCGCACCGGGGACCCACGCGAGAGACAACCGTTGGCGCCTACTGCCACACGCCAAAGAGAGCAGCTTATCTCTCTCGCGCCGCCACCAAGGCTTCCCGCCAGGCTTCTCTGCTAGCGCTATCGATATAGCCATGATAATGATGATGATGGTGGTGGTGATAAAAGCTCGCGAGCAGAACGCCACCTACCACTCAATGGTTGTGACCCTTGAAATGTGGCTTATGTGCGAGGCACATTGCCACGCAGCGCAAACAACTTTATAGGGGTGTTAGCACCCCCCCCCCCCCCCACAATGTAAAAATTAGGACGTGTCTATAGTCGACGACAACTTTCTGTGGCAGCAAAACCAAAGCTATGTGGGCGGAACTTATGCACATGTGATACTGTGCCAAGTAATCCACCGTGTCCGCCGGGTGTTTTGATTTGGAATTCACCAGTGCATTCCGCAACATTACATTCTCACATTGGTGCCGTGTGAGCAAAGTTAAACGTCCTTGCATGTTAGCATGCAAATAATTATCATCCGTGCGCAAGTAGCGTAGAAGTTGTGCAAACGTGAATGACATTTTTCGAAAGGGTATGCATATATATATATATATATATATATATATTTAATTTGCAAGAGTAGTATATCTTGCGAGTCATGAAATTTACATAGTTTGTAAGAGTGGTAAAACTTTGCAGGCAATAAATTTAAGTCATTTGCAAGAGAGGTGTAAGCTATGAGACACATTATTTATAGATTTTGCAAAAAGCAACTTATTGTTCAGCTGGTCTCGCCTGCAAAACACACAGGCTGTGTTTGAAAGGAAGTGTCATGAGGTGTAATGTTATTTTTTAATTTAAAGTAATCCAATAAAAAAGTGAAGCCCTTTCAAAAAATAGACTATTTCTTGTGGATGTCACCGTATTTAAATTCTTGGAAAACAACAACGTGCGAGATACGCACAAGCACACATCAAGGTATGATAGTTTACATTCACCGAGTTTATACTGTTGACTGTGTTTACATTAACGGGAACTCTTACATTCCACTTATGTAGCTG